AAATAGCGGGCATTTAATAAAAAATAAAAATCTAAATCTAATAATTAAAATAAGAGACAAATCTAGTAATAAAAGGCATAAAATGACCTAAGAATTTATAAAAATTATCAAAAATTATAAAAAACAATATTCTCAAGTCTCAACAAAGAAAAATCATAGTTTAGAATGATCAAACAAGATAATAAAATATTTAAAAGAGTACAAAAGTCAAACAAGATCAGTTCAGAAAAAAGTCAGATAATAGAACTTTAAAACAGAAAATCATTTAAGAGTCTAATAATCCTCATCACTCTCTTCTGCTTTTAATTCTTCTTGCTCAGCCACCAAATCATCATCATCCTTGTCTTTCTCACTTGTTCCACGAGGCTCAAACTCCTCTTCTTCCTCCTCTAACTTTCAAGACCTAAAGTATGAGCCTCTTCACTAATTCTAGTAGTATAAACTGCATCAACACTAGAGGTTGTGGCTGGAATTCTAAAGGTTAGTGATGGAATTTGAGAGGTCAAGGCTGCAGTTGCATTTCTTTTTGCTTGTCCCCTAGTATAAGTTCTAATTTCTCTTGCCCCTAGTATAATTGTAATATAAACTTGCTAGTTGCTTCAATACAGAAAAAAAAAAAAGAAAAAAAAGAAGAAAGAAACAGAGGTGCAATTGCAGAAGCAGAACCAAGCAAAGAAAAAAATAATTGTCACATGCTTTTGTGTCTAACTTTCTATTTCTAATTCCAACTTTTTGCTCTGGTGTCAAAAAAAGAAAAAAGAGGGAGACGGCACTTGCAGAAGCAGAACCAAAGCCAAAAAATCTGAGCTGTGAGACTGAGAGTTGCCTTGCACTCTTCAACTCTTGCTATGGCCGATGGGGACTAAGAGGAGACTAGATGGTGCACAAGGTGGGAGAGAATATCAGCACCGAGACTCATGAGGGTAGACCAGTAGAGGAGAGTCGAGAGGAGTGTGCTAGAAGTGTGGAGAACAGATGTAATGAGTTGTTTTAGGGTTTTCTTTCTTTAATTTATAAATAGAAAAGTTGGAAAGACAAAATTAACCTTGAAAGCTTTTAACTTAAACTCTGGATGTGGGGTTAACTTGGTAATTTAACAAAAAAAGTCAAGAAATTTAAATAACGGCCGCTATACCCGCTACCCGCTATTTGTATAGCGACCGCTATTAGCAGTCATAGCGGCCGCTATTGTTCACCCGCTACGCTATGGAGATTTTTCATAGCGGCCATAGCTGGCCGCTACGCTATGCCACTATAGCGGCCGCTACGCTATGCCACTATAGCGGCCGCTATGGCCGCTATTGACAACACTGATTTAAGTAATTCTATGTAGTCCACCCCCTGAAAAACAGTTTTTCTTTTGTCTTTCATTTTTTGAAATGAAGGCTGAGTTTCTGAGGCTCCAAAATATTGAAAACATGTTCCTTAGAAAATTCGGAAATTCAAATCCTGAAATTTTAAAGGAGTGATCGCTTACTCCCTCCGTTTAGCCTTTCTTTTAATTTTTATTTCTCTCTCTCAGCATGCCTTATGTTGAAAATAACAGGACACATACGAAAGAAACAAAAAATAAAAGATAGATGTGATAAACAAATTAAATTTATGTATAGTTATATTCATTAATTCTGCTAATTTATTGAGTCTTTATCTTTCATTTTTTGAAATGAAGGCTGAGCTTCATGGTCTCCAAGATTTTAAAACTGAGTTCCAAGAAGAATTCGGAGGTTTGCGTCCTAAAAGATTAAAGGTGTGATTGCTTACTCCCTTCATTTATTAGCTTTTTTTTTTTTTTGTTTCGCAGAACATATATATTATATTAAGATGAAAATAAACGGATTACACATATAGTTCTAGCAGTTTGGCTGCCAAGGAAACATAAACATAGCAGACAAAGTCAACACTAAACATACTATATA